CCCAACTTGGAGTCATTATGGTCGAGCTTCATCACCCCCCACGGACTCCACCCCTTACCTGCGCGCATCTTGAGGGACTACCCCCTGGAGCATGACCATCTTGCCTGTGTGCAGACCTCCAAAAATTGTTGTGACATAAGGAATCACCTAAAAGAGAGAAGACACGCCGTCTAGTCAGGCTTGGAGAAAAGGCCCAGAGACCCCAATGCCAGGTGGGGGAGGACGAAGACAAAAACGATCCAAAACAAATCCATAACAACAAGAAAACTCAACTTTCCCCCAAATAGAATGCATTCTTAGTGGGGAAAATTCTTTTTCTCTGAACTGCTCTTTCCCACCTACTCCCTTCTCCTGAACCACCAGGCTTCAAAGCTACATTGCACGAGGGAAGCTAAGTCCAAGACCCCTATCTCCTTGAAGCACCAACCCAGCCCCACTCCTAGCTTCTAGGGGTAGGTAGGCTCCTGTGTTTTCAGTGCTTGAGATAGTTAAGGTTTATTGTATCAACCTGGCCGATAAACACATGTGGGGTTCATTGAAGGGCGGAGAGATAAATGGCTCGGTAAGCCTCGCCTTTCTAGTTCTCAGGTCTCTTGCTTTCTGATGGTCGGACCAGGGTGCAGCTGCCTTAGTCAGTTCCATGCTTCAGCTGGCAAGGCTCACTTCCTGCAAGACATCCCTGAGAAGAAGCCACATGGATCTACCCCAATGCAGGCCTGAGTGCTGGAGCAGCCGTGTGGAGACCCCTTCCAGTGCTGAGATGCTTAGACACTCACTGATTCGGCTTTTCTCCTGTAGTCGGCATCATTGCTTGTGTTTTGCGAGTTGAGGACTTTGTAGATTGGTGTCGGACATATGGACTAATGTTGGACTTATGGGCTTGGGCAGCACTGGATTGGGATGCTTTCTTAATGTACACTTACCTTCATATAAAACTCTATCTTAAACATATGAGTTTCTGTGGATTTGTTTCTCTAATCTACCCAGACTAACACAGTGCTGCTCCCCATCCACTGGATGCCATCCCAGCTCCCAGAAGACTGGTGCCCTGGCTACCTGAAGACTGTGTGCTGGCCAGAATCTGACAACTAGGAGACAGAGGGTGGATAGGTCGGGAACTGGGTTGACCCTGATACCTAACAGTGGCCCCCAACTCACTTCCTGGGATCCCCTTGCTCCAAGGAGGTGCTGCTGACATTCTTCCACACCTCCGCCTTATCCCAATGCTTCCCTTTGCCTTTCCTCCACCTCTTCATCTTTCAAGGCTTCTGCCACCTTCCCTAACACCTTCTATGCTCTGGGGCCTGGGTTCTTCTCCCGCTTTCCCAGGACACTCAGCTGGCTGACTTGGTTCTTGACCCCTTGGCTTAGAGGGAGACACATGGTTGCCTGTTCCCTCAGGGAGGCTACAGCCTCTTTTGTGCTCTTGGGGGACACTCTTGGGAACAGTACAGTGGGTGCTGGGTGGGACTCTGCCACAAGATTGTCCCTCCAGTGTCCTCCAACTCCCCCAAACCTTCAGAAGCCTGTATCAGAGCTTCTGATACACTAAGTTTGCAAAAGGCTGTCATTTATAGTGAAAGCTCTAAATGCATTTCTGAATCACTAAATAAATGCAGCCACCACTGAATTTCTTCTGACCACTCATCAGCAGCATGAATAGCATTGCCCTCTGGTAGCCTGCATTAGGGAGTGAATGGTTGCCCCTTCCCTAGTTAGTCCAAGGAGAAACAGCATAGCCTTTAGGGACTTACCTGGGGGTGCCTTTCATGGTATTTGGGCTGTATCGTCATGAATCACATCCTGACTGCCTTGGTCAAAGGACCCTGAACCAATCTTGTAACGTCTTCTGTCTAACATAATATCCGAGTCCCAATCATGGTTCTGTTCCCACGTCTATAGTCCCAGGTGTAACCGTGATGGATTGAAATGCCATCGACCATGCTTTTAAGACTGTTTCCTTTGCCCTCCGTGGCCGTTTTAAACAGCCAAATCTCTGCAATCCCTTAGACGCCATCACGACCTTGTACTCATGGGGTCCCTCATCCAGATGAAGTGAGCCCATCCCCTGCCTGAGAGTACCCGCAGGTTAGCCTGGCCCCATAACTAACAGAGCTAATGCAGTTCTCTGAGGAGGTGAGGGCCGAGTCATGGCAAAAATGACAGTGCTTCTCAGTTCAGCCAGAGCTCATGGGACAGGAGTCCTTCTGGGAGCTCCAAGCTGACTGTCACGAAGTCAATGTTGATGCCCAGCAAGACTATGCGACAGAGTAGAAATCATTGCTTAGGGTGTCTGCGACTAAATCTTCACAGGAACAGACAACCCCATCTGCGGATAGCCTCATCTTTCTCCCACGGAGCTGTTGGCGGCTTTGAACTGCCAAGCTTGCCCTTAGCAGCCCAGTGCTTAACCCACAGAACTACCAG